CACTTTTTGACCCCTTGACCCTTGCTACGAGGAACTCGAGGTGGTTGATCAATTCACTGATCTTGGCAGCTGCATCAGCAATGATGGGCGCATAGGAACTAACGTCAGGTCATGTATTGCAAAGGCCAGAGCTGTCTTCTTGAACCTGCGGCATCTTTGGCGACAGAAGGGAGTTTCCCTCCGTCTGAAACGCCGGGTATACATGGCCACAGTAAGGGCCGTTCTGCTCTATGGTAGTGAGACTTGGCCCCTTCAGTCTGAAGATCTGAGGCGCCTTCAACTCTTTGATCATCATTGTCTGCGAAGCATTGCTGGTGTCGGATGGCACCAGCGTGTCCGCAACGATGATGTGCGTAGGCGAGTACTAGGTGGTGATAATCATGCTAGCTCCCTAGAACAACAGATAGCACTGAATAAGTTGCGTTGGCTCGGGCACGTGCTACGTATGCCTGGTCACCGCTTACCTAGGGGGGCCTTGTTCAGTCTGCCAGGTGTAGAGTGGCGCAAGGCTCGAGGTGGACAGAAGTTGACTTGGCAGCGGGAAAAGAAGTCACTTACGACCAAACTGGGTGCCATTGGTTCGTCTCGCTTTCTGAGCTGGAGTCCACGTGACTCGCGGGTCAATGGCTGATTATGACGCGTGGCAGTGAAAGTCGCAAGGAAGCTGTCTCGCCGATGCCGCCTTATCTTTTCACGATAGCCAGCTGTTTGTGACGGTATGTTGTCTACACAAGGTGTGGGCGCCTTGACCCTGAATGTTTGCTTAGGGCATTAAGGTTTTCAGGTAAGTACCCATTTTCCCCCTCTTCTTATTCTTCATTTCATAGGTCCTCATGGTTGTATGGCAGCGAAGCATCGGTTCAAATGACTGCTGTACTGCTGTTGTTGATAATGATGCAGCGACACTGATGATGTCAAACAACAGCCAATCACTTGAATGGCATTATCAAATAAAATATATTTGTTAGTGCATGCGGCTATGCCGACATAACTCCGTTAAATTAGCATATGGAGTAGGTTGGTTCTTAAGGAATACGTGACAGGTACAAAAAGTCCAGAAGATACTTAACAAATGCTACAAACACAATGAAGTTGACGAAGATAACCACAATTAGCGTAAGCAACGTGGCCAGTTAATAGATTTTCCAGGTAGGTAGAACAAGCCGAATAAAGTGGAATGAAATTTATCCGGCTTCAAAAAACCTAGTTTAAGTGTAAGTTAGTTTAGCCCAGTTGCGCTGAAGTAGCATCATGAATGCAACATCAGCCTCAGCATGGACAATTGGCCCATCTAATCCGTATCATCAATCGGTTTTTTGAGCCAAGCACTTTTATTATTCGTCAGAGAGTCTATGGCATTTTGTCTCACATGGGTTCATCTATTAGTTTGGAAGCTTCAATCCTTCACCTCAGGAGATCAACCCAGTCCTGGCCAACAATTGAGTAAAGAAGAATATAGAATATGAGGAGATGGAAAGGTAATTACGGTAATGCTGATAAATAGGAAATTGCTGTATTTAACTACCGTCAAAAATGGCTGATGGATTTCTCGATCCATTTGTACGGTGTGATCGCCGTAATGGGTGGCTGTTTGAATTGTTGATATGCGAGGCCGTTCTGAAAGAGGTCGGGTTAATCCGACAGTTGCATGCCTTCGCAAAATTTAGTATTCGGTATCGCGAAGCACTGAGAATTGCTACCTGCTCCTGGGCTGTTGCTCTCGGGAAAGTGGAAGAAATATTTGATATTACAAGACGAATGTAAAGGATAGATATTGTATGGAAGAAATCATTTTATATCTTAACGGTATGAGGTACGTTTGTTGTGTTTGATCTGGTCACATATTATAAATAGCTTATTGGAAACAGTACTTTTCAGGTTGTCACAAGAAAAGCAATTCCGGATGGTTAGGTCACTTCCAACCGAGGTGTGTGGGAAATGACATTGACAGATATCATGAAGCATTCTGTAGTTTTGTGCTGATACCTCCGGGCAGGAAAGAAAGTTGGTTAGAAATACGGAAGACGGTTCGTTCATAAATAAATAAATGTTACGATAGTCGCAGACATGTAAAATTCTTCAAACTTTTTTTTGTCTATATCCTTATATTTTTTTGCGGGGCTCAATGTTTCCCTTTGCTGTATTGTTGCACCGCAGGCCAGAATGTTTTCTTGAGACTAACAGTTGCAGGGTGTCAAAATGTTGAATACGAGAGGATTGGATGGTGACGATTCATATTATTGTTATTATCATTATTATTATTATATTATTCAACACTTGACCAATGTACTATTGGCATTGCCACAACACATAGTTAACAACAAGATGGGGAAAACGGGTAGTCAATGAAAGGATTTGAAAAGTTTAGTAGGTTAATGTGTTGTGTGGGCAGATCTTCCCGGTTGCCCAGGCCAACGAAGATGGTTGACCTAAAGGACCCAACCCCGAGCCTTTAGTCTTAAAACCTAACGGGCAAGGTAGCAGGGCGATTAGCGAAGACCGTTGACATCCGGGTGGCTCCTTTGCCTTCTTTGTATTCAGTAGCAATCCACAGGGAAGCCGGTGGCCACTAAAGTTGTTCATCCACTCTTCGTTAAATACTCATCTCTGGTTATAGAACTGAGTGATCAGTGACTCTATAACCGGTCACTTTGGTTTGGACACAGCGCCGTACGAGCTCTTGTGGTATTTAATGAAGAACTAGGTGACCAACCCAAAACTCCCCACGCTCTGAAACGCCGCTGATGATTGTCCGCGACTGCTTATTCATCTCGCCTGCAAGGTAAACTATGCTTATTCGCAGTTACCTCCACAATGAAGGCATTCCCCCATCCGCAATCTGGGGACGCGTCCGATAGCGTCCAGCTCCACCACGGCGGTGGCGATTGATATCATATCTTACATATCTGCTAGACCGTTTTCGTATGCCATGTTCTCCGTGACATTTTGTCTCAGCAGCTCGGTGGCCTTTCCAACATTTAGCAAGCTGCGGATCTTTTTACGAAAGGTTTTAGAGCATTTACATTCTCGCAGCTTGGACGGCAGCCTGTTCCATACTTTTGCGTAAACTTTCGTACGTGCCTGAGTTCTGGGCCTTTCTATTTTTAGCAAGTTGTGGCCCATCTTTGAATTCCAAATCCAGACTTGAGGCATGAACTCGCTTGTGTATGATATCGAATAAGGAGATATGTATTAAGTTTCATCCGTCTGAGCCATACCAGGTTTAGTCTTAAGATCTTGCAGCTCTGTACGTAAGAGATTCGAGAGGACATTCCCAGCAGACGTTTAGTGAACGATCTCTGCAACTTCTCCAGCTTTTGAGGATCACCTTTTCTTGTGTTACTGTAGATCTATGCATGATAGTCTAATAGCCGTCGGGTTTTATCTTGTATATGATGGCTTTGGAATCGTGAATTCTGAGTGTTTCGAATAGTAGTCCAATGCTTCGACGAGCTTTAGCGACTACATTTGCCGTGCGCTCCATAACGTTTAGTGAGCCAAAATAGTGAAGACTTAAGTCCCTTATTTCACGGTCGTACGTTATTGGCTTTCCACACAGAACCAGGGTACGATTCTACAACGGAACAGTAGGGCACTACACTTCTCGGTTGAGAATAACACATCCCACTTGGCGCAACATAACAAGTGCTTTTAAATCAGATATAATGGCGTTCATGGTGTGGTTCATGTCAGTAATATTAAAGGTGTAAACGACTTTTATGTCATCAGCAAATACACATGTGACACCTTAGTGTATTACGTCAAATATATCGTTATTATACACTAGAGTAGTGGGCCGATGACGCTGCCCTAAACTACGCCATTCATTGGTCCAGGCTGTGAATTTTGATCATTTATTCTAACCACGGTGTTTCTACTCTCCTTTGGTCACCTTGTGCTTGTTATGAATCCGATCTAGTATTGTTCCATTAGCGTTTATCGAGTCACCACGGTATTTCAGACGTTTATATATGAGCATTATTTTTATTTTGTAGAGGATTTCGTTTCTGTTTGCTTTCGTTTTATTTTCATGCAAGTATTTTGTGCCTATTTTTGCTCTGCTTATCTCTACCTGCATCCCAAGTGGATTTGAATATTCCAGTCACTAATGATGACCTTGCAGGCCAAGTCGTCCGCCCTTCTCACATCCTCTTCTATCTCCGCCATTTAGACTAACCCAACTGTGCAAGCGAGATTTATACTGTTTTCTGGGTGCATTTGATCAGAAAGTATCCGTTCTTAATTTTTTATACTCACTATCCGTTCTTTATTGATTCTTTTGCTTCGTCTGAGTGTCTGTAATCTTAATGTGCTGCTTCGGGATGTGGTGAGTCCGCGTTTATTGGAATTATTCTTGTATTCAGAAAAATATCACTACTGTTAACACAGGCAGGTCTGAGAGTACCGTGTTTACATTCGGCTTCCACTGTTTGCTCCCACTTTCGCTGTGAAATCTGTGGAGCCACAAAAAGTTTGGGAAATTTTTAACCACTGCTCCTTGATGCCCGAATGTATGGACTTCAGCTCACGTCGCCTGTAAAATTGTTGTAATGTACAATTTTGTCCATTTGCCCACCAGAAACATCGTCGGTGTTTATCGTGACCAAACTTAAGCGGTTAATAAACATTGCCGACTGGCATTTTCCCGTTTTTATTGCCATTCTAGGTGTTTCACGATGCCATGCGTGCTGTTGTTGGTTCTGGCATCAGTTCTAATTGATTGAAATATATCCTTATCATTGTCGCTTTTTGGTGTCTTACTGCGTCAAGATAGGTGTTTGACTAATACCGGCTACATTACTACGCTCGAATTGACTCAGCATAGCTGTCTGATTTCACCTCTTTTGTCAAGCTAGATGCCCCGATTCGCGTGCTGTTAGTCGTTCCCTCTTGCTTCATTTCCCTTTCCGGCAAGCGCAGTTATGCTTTTCATAACCTCACCGAACTGAGCGGGTTCTAATATACCAATTGATCAACTAAACCGCTTCTGTATCCTCCAGGCAGCCTCACTGGACGTCTGACTCATCTTTATGCGCAGTGTGTTCCGATGGGGCAATCAATATTTACCTCTCCAATCAATTCGGTAAGACTGCGTTTCTTCCAACAAGTGTTTTATTAGCAATGTTGATAGCTTGCAGCATCGAAAGCTCCAACTCTCTTGACATTCTCCTCTATCTCTTTTCTTCTGTCCATCTGCGGCACAATGGCTGAAGTGTTTTCCACCTCTAGCTAACGTGTATAATGAAAATAATGACTTCCGTCCATGAAACTATTACAGTATTCATTTACCCAGCAAGGTGAAATCAGTCACTTAACGCTGTCTGTTCGCAGGGACAGATCTAATAGCAGTGATTCGCTTTCACTGCGACATAACGTCGCTCATCCTCAGTCACCAGTCATGTTACTGTGGTACAGAGATAAGGACTATATCCATGAGACCCTACTTCCTCTGCTAAGTCGTCGTTTTTCTTACGGCATTACAAGCCAAATACTTCGATTATTAAGTGCTAAAGGATAGTGCCTTCTTTTTTGTTGTTTCCAATAATCTTATCGCAACCGGCCCCTATCCTTAATGATCACAAACCTGCCTTGCAATCCGAGGACCGGGGTTCGAGCTTGTGTAGAGACCGGGCGACTCTCGCAGTACCCTTAGCCCACGTGCGACTAGTGGTGGTTGCGTGGCAGCGAGGCGTCGGTACCGCTTACCGGCGCACTGCTGATGCGTTTTCTTTCTTTCATGGTGTGCAGTGCATCTTACCGGGGGAAGTCGTGCCTCTGATGCCAGCCATATTATTTCTACAGCAGTAACGTCATCCTTATTCGGTAAAAGTTGGTTATAGCCAACTGAAAGAGCTGCGTCATCACAGGAAAAGTGCGAATATTGTGATCCCGGCTGGCGATCTGAATGCTCAGAGTATAAATAAATAAATAAATTTGCGACTGCCAAAAATACCAAAATCCTTCCACTCATAAGTAATAAGTTTGTATATTTACCGATAAACGGTATACGGCCCCACAAACGGGATCGATCATTTGTCTAGTGAAAAGGTCTCATTGTTCAAAGCTGAATTTAGGGAGCACACCGTGTGGTTGGGTTGTGACTCGTAACCTCTACTGAGACCTCGGCTCACTCTGAGATAAAGCTCGGTCATTCCGATCTCGAGGACCGTATCCCAACACTGATTTCATGGTTTATGTGACGTAAATTTAAATAATGGAATTTTGGATCACAATTTTTTTCTTCGGTTCCTAGACCCGAGCATTTAATATGTAAAATTTACGCATGTTTGTATCATCATTTTCTAGTCTGTGGGGCTCAGAAGTAGATAATAAAAGGGAGGGGATACCAGACTGCACAGACACAGGATTTGGTATTGTAGGTAATAACATATAGTGGGTAAACTAGTTGTAAGCAAATATCTACTCAAATGTTTTTATACCAGCTTCTGTCAATGTTTCTAAAGTTTGCTGTGAGTCAAAAATCTTCAACACATTTGAACTGGTATGGAACGTCTGCGGAATTTCGAAATGTGACATAGTTTGTACTCATACGTATCTGTAAGGGTGGTTTGTTCCACAGATCCGTGTATCTCACTAAGAAGAAATTCGATCGTTTTATAACTTTCCAGTTTTGTGCGTAGCAAACAGCCGCCATTACGTGTGAGGCAGACTGCAGTCTTCCGTAGTTCAATTGCAATGCTATCTGCGTAAATTCGTTGATTTATAACGTTGTAGAAGAGAACGAGGTTGTTCTTTAAGCATCTCAACCAAAGCGCATCCAGTTGGAGTTTTCGACAGCGATCATAATAACTCAGGTTTGAGCAGCGCCCCATGACCAGCTTGGTACATGATCGTTGGACATATTCCAGAGTCGTTCTGTCTTTCTTTTTCCATTGGCTGTGCACGATAGTACAGTATTCCAGAGTCGGTCGTACTATTGTCTTGAATGACGGTTTCGGATTTACCTGTCACTGTGGCCAGCCACAGGACGCCTGCGGCTATAGAGGGACCATGGGTGGCTTACGCTGCACCACCCACAGCTCCAACCACACGCCCATATCCAGTGTAAAGCCGATGGAATAAGACCGGGAGGCATGTGGATGGGAGCCACGTTTCATCAACGGAGCCGGCCCACACTCCTTCACAGGCAAACACAAGTACGCTGTATTTGGGAATCAATCGCACACAAGGCGGTTCCTGAACCATAGTCCGCTCCACACTGAGTGCATGGAACCGCTCTTCAAGCCTAGCACGATCACAAGGACCGTGCACCCTGTCCCCTCCAACAATGGCCAACTGTCTCCTGGAGCCAGATGGACGAGGTAGTGGGTAATAGACAGGTAGACACCTTGTCAACATGCACGTCAAGCGCAGCCACACCGGGCATGTCAAACAACAGCCAATCATTCGAACCGATATGATGAAGGAAAATCAATCCAACGATGCATACAGATACGGTGGCATAACTCTTCGCTAAATTAGCATATGAAGTAAGTTGGTTAGCAACGAATCCGCGATACGGAAAAATGTCCACAAGTTACTTAAAATGCTACAAACGCAACAAAATTACCGAAGGTAAGCGCAATTAGCGCTAGCAACGTGGCCAGTTAACAGAAGAGTATTCAGATAGGCAGGACAAACCAAGTAATGTGGAATGAAATTTATCCAGCTTAAAAAGACGTAGTTTAAGCGTAAATTGGTTTAGCCCAATTGCGGTGAAGAAGCAACAAGGATGCAATATATATATATATATATATATATATATATATATATATATATATATATATATATATCGTAACGGACTGCGCAGGTTTTGGGCGCTCAAACGTAGCTTCGGCACATAATCTGAAGAGGTTGCCACTGGCCTCTTCTCTTCCATCATTAAACCAATGCTAGCTTACGGTTTGCCCGCCTACTTTCGGATTACCCAAGGCGAGGCCCAAAAGATCGAACGGGTCCAACACGTTGCTACCAGGCTCATCCCGAGTTTACGTGGCTTGGGGTATGAAGACCGTTGCGAGAAACTAGGACTTTAAACCTTGTCTTACCGTCGGGTGCGATTCGAGCTCATTATGACCTACCGTATTCTACACCTTGGTGACTTCCCAATGCGGAGGCCAAGGCTGCACATACGAGGGCCATGATGCACATGCGGACACAGATACAAACTTGTCGTGCCGGATGTGAAACATGTTCCTCACCCATTCTGCTTCGAACGGAGAGTGGTAAATATTTGGAACAGTTTACCTGAGCATGTAATGGCGGCAACATCTGTGCAGCAGTTCAAAACGTTGCTAGATTTATATTTTGTCACTATACGATTCAGAGAACGATTGCACACTTACGATGACATATCACATTTGTGAGTCCTGCAATACCGTGAGTCAGATATTTTAAATGTTACATGAGAACGACAATGATATTCATGGTTGACAACTTTTATAATCTTGTTCACCATATTTCGAAAAAGTTGCACTTAATTCATTTGTACTTGCACTATACTGCAGTATATATATATATATATATATATATATATATATATATATGCATAGCTGCTTCGCTTTTGCAACCTGATAAAGCACATGTTCGGAGAAATTGAGGGTTGGAGCATCTACTTCCCAAGTCCCGAACTGAGTCAGACGTTGGGAGCACTTTTGCGGCAAGTGTGGTAGAGCCTTCTGGGATGCGGCATCCGTACCTGACTACTTGAGATTTCATTGCGGAGAACTTCATTAATAAACGCTCACTAGCTATATTTAGTGCGGATAGATCTTCACAGATGCTTCCTAGCCCCATTTGTGGGTGGTCTGGATGAAATGAGTAGACCAGTTTGACGTCATCTGCAGACGGAAATGGGTGTCCATGTTTGATCGGGTCACATATATTGTTTACGTATATTAAGAAAAGTAGTGGTCCGAGCACGCTTCCCTGGAAGACACCGCTGGTTATTTGTTTCGGTGTAGAATGTTGCTAACCGATTCTAACTACCTGGGTTCGACCGTTTATATATGAGTCGAACCAGTTCCGCAGAGAATTTCCGATTCCATATGACTCTAGAGCAGACAGCAGTGGCTTGTGTGGCACGCGGTCGAACGCCTTTTTGCATGTCCAACAGGATTATAAGGATTTTCATTCCTCTGTAAATCATAGTCGTGACGTGCTCAGGGAATTGGAGCCGGCAGGTAACGCAGAAGCGTTTTGTGAGAAAGTCATGTTGTGAGGGGTTGCTCAGATCCAGTCTTGTAAGATATTGAACGATGTTTTCCTTGACTATTCTTTCTAGGGCTTTAGAAGCGTCAGAGGTGTGATTTATTGGGCAGTAGCTTAACACTTTATTTCTCGGTCCACCCTTGTGCTTAGGCATTATTATGGATTGCTTCCATTGAGATGGAAAGCAGCCGGTAGTGAGAGAATGTGAAAATATTTAGTAACAATAGAGCGAGGTTTTTTCCTCCGAGTTTTATAACAGTTGGTGAGATGCCATCTGGACCTGGACGAGTTGATGGTGTTAGGGATGCGATGGCACTTTGCACCTCTCTTAACGTCACAGGGATATTACAGCATAGTTCGGTCGTTCTTTTTCGAAGTGTAGGATGAAACGGCTGAGTGTTGGGAACAAAGCAGGTTTCAAAACTTGAGTTGACAGCCTCGCATATGCAGAAGATGTCGCGCGTTATTGTGCCATCGTCCAGTGCCAACGGTACCATTTCCTGATGGGGTTTAGGGTTCCTTCTTTTGAGTGGTTGCATCAATGTACGTATTTTCTCTTGATTTCTAATTACTTGACTTTCTTCTTTGATTTTGACCGTTTGGCTTAGACTTTGTGAATGTAGTAAATTCTCTTGTATTTGTAGCAACGTTGCGAAGCTGTTGTTCCTGCGATATAGCGATTTGAGTTTCTTTAGTTTGGTTTTGACTTTGTACATAAGCTTGAGTTCACCACTATGTTCATGGGTATACCTTCATACGGTAGGTGCCAGTAGATCCACAACAAGGGCAATATTATTAATAAACTCATTTGTAGCCACATTAGGGTTGTGAGTTATGAATGACGTATTCTAATTCATGGTACTGATAAGTTGA